CACCCACCCAGGCATGAACGATAAAGATAACACTTCTAGGTCTGTGCTTTTGAGAGTCTGTGTGACCAGCAACACGGTATCATTTTTAAAAACAATGATCGATGCACCTTGTTTATACGTTTGTCTCCCTCATGACTCTGTGAGCTTCTTAAAGGTAATGACCATATTTTATAGAATTCTACATCTCCTCTGCCTCGTTCTTGCATCTCATAGCCTCAAAAATGTTTGAGGGGTGAATACTGAATGACTGAGTGACACACAAGCATGTCTGAGTGGAATGTAAGAAGCATGGTCACTATGGCAACCCCGGAAAATAATTTAGCAGCAACGCTGGCAAGCTGCTTTGGTTCTGGGGGAAGGTTCTGCACATTCTTAGGCTAAAAGTAAGAATTTGGACCAATTCTGGTCCATTCGTAAGCAGGAATGCTAGTTTCTAGAAAAAAACAAGCCTTCAGATGTGACTCTGCATTGACAGTGGCAAAGTCTAAGTTCCTTTTCCATTTGGTTCCTGATGGCGATCTCTTGCCCCAGGAGCAAAGTGGACATACTGCCCCAGTCCACTTTCAACGACAGCTGCTGGAATTTTCTACAAGTGCATTGCTTCTTGGTTATGATGCTTACTTCTGCTATTAACGGTTAATATGTAAACATCTGTTTTCGAGAATGGCTATTATGTATAGTGAATCCTGTATAAATAACCATACATTCTAAGGTCAGTGTAGGCGATCTTAAATATTACCAAAGGACGCAAAGATTCTAGAAGTCCTGAGAATTTAAAGCTCAAAATGTCTACTTGATATGCACTTTCTTTTGGCAGTGTTATCTGAAATCTGAGAATAAGTGTGTGTGTGTGTGTGCGCGCGCGCGCGTGCCTGTTTACTTTCCTCTATACCACATGGGATTCTGAGTCGATGTGAAAGCAAGCAGCTGACAGCACTAGATAAAGATGATTATAGCAAAGAATTTAATCAATAACCACTTTTATCTCCTCAACACACATGACACCTTTAAAAATTATTTGCACAAATGTTTATTCCTAGCTAGTCGCAGAGTAAACAAGATCGTGCTGAGGGAAAAGTCAGAAAAACATTACAGGAGAAGAAGCAATTCTGAATGTCAAAAAAAAAAAAAAAAATGCCATGGTCCAGACTGAGCAGTGTGTCTTTCCTTGATGGTAGGATACCACAGGGTCACATCAGCCACAATAAGGTCACTTCTGACATCGATTCTGGAGATATATGTATCTCATCTCGTAGGAGAAATTTCAAGTTAAATCCAAGCACATCATTGATAAAGCAGTAAAATGATGTTTCTTGTGAAGAATAAATTGTATACTTTAGTACTAAAATGCCTTAAGAATAAAACCTGAATCTTTAATGACAAATCGTTCAAATCTGTACATGTTAATGTCTTCATACATGTATTAGGAAGGGAAGGGCTTTGTTTATTTTAGGAAGGGTCTGGAATAGGGACTGCAAGCCATGAAAGGACATTTTTTTTAAGTTTATTTATTTTGAGAGAGACAGCATGTGCATGTGTGTGCAAGCAAGCGGGGGAAGGGTTGGCCAGAGAGACAGAGAGTGAGACAGAGAGAGAGAGAGAGAGAGAGAGAGAGAAAGAGAGAGAGAGAGAGACTGAATCCCAAGCAGTCTCCATGCTGTCAGTGCAGAGCCCAGCACAGGGCTCAAAATCACAAAATCTGTGAGATCATGACCTGAGCTGAAATCAAGAGTCAGATGCTTATCCGATTGAGTCACCCAGGTGTTCTGAAAGGACATTTTTATTTTATTTTTTCAGCTTATTTATTTGAGAGAGAGAGACAGAGACAGAGAGATAGACAGAGAGACAGAGAGAATGAGAATTACCCAGGAGGGGCAGAGACAGGGGGACAGAGGATCCCAAGCAGGCTCTGTGCTGTTAGCACAGAGCCCCATGTGGGGCTCAAACTTACCAACCATGAGATGATGACCTGAGCCCAAGTCAGATGCTTAACCAGCTGAGACACCCAGGCACCTCCCGAAAGGGCAGTTTTAAAAAAGTCTATTTTAAAAAGACTTTATTAGCTCGCTTAGACAATAAATATGTCCCTACACGTAGTGAAATGAACACATGCACTGTCTTAGGAATAGGTGTGTCCTGAACCATCTCGGGGCCCAAGGGAGGGGCTGAAGTTAGCTGAAGAGCATTCTTAGTCTTTACCATGAGAACCACTGGTATTGATTTCAAGGAGATCCTAAAATGAAATTAGCATATTTATAGGAGAAGTCTGTTGCTCAGTAAGTGAGAAAATCAAGGTATTCAAGGAACAAACTGTGTCAATCTGTATGTGTGTATGTGTGCGTGTGTGTTTCTCTTCCAGACAGCAAGTGTGTGTGTGCGTGTGTGTGTGTGTCTCCTGGAATTTTCTGAGCTAGCAAGAGTAGACCCTGTAATCCTGATATTCTGTCAAGATTCATGCTTTTCATGTTCTCTCGTCGTATGAATGGTTATTTTGCTGGCCTTCAATGGGCAAGAGCAGAGGAAAGGTGCTATGATCTGAACTTGAGGCACTTTAAAGGAAGGGCATGTAGACTTGAGCCTGGAGCACTGGCCATGTCTATGGCCTTGGGACTCAAGAAGAAAGTTACCCAAGTCGAGGGTGATTTCTAGAAAAAGGAGACCCTTCCGTCCATGAAACTTCCTTTTAATGCTGAACCTAAAGAGTCTCAGTGATTATGAGCGTGCCTGTGTGCATGCGAGCGTGCGTGTGTGTGTGTGTGCACACATGTGCTTAAGGAAGACTGCCCATTTCCTTAAAGGGTACCATGTACTTTAAGAGGGTCATTTAAAAAAACCAAATACTACCTCCTCTAACTAAATAATTGCTCATAAATTTCTAAAACATATTTTTAAAAGCACACATATCCCTTTGTATGAAGTTTGGATTATTGAACAAAGTAAAACTAAGAAACCCGTTACGAATGTGATTATAATTTCAATTCTTCAGTAAACGCAGGCGTTATCTTTGATTCCTTTGTTTTTACGTGTGCTTAGAAATACTTGTGCCTCTTTAAAATCAGAGTAAGCATAAGAGTTAGTCTTTATTTTATATCACCTCATTAAACCGTCATGAGTTCATTTTCACTCATTAGGAAACTATAAACTAAAATCACTCATTAGGAAACTCCAGAAGAGTTACTAACCTGTCTGAGCTCAGTAAGGGGCATAGCCCACATTCAAACCATGGCCTGAGAAGTTTACCTGGAAGGCTGACTACTTGTGCTTTATCTCTCTGCAAATTAATCTGACAGTATTATGAAATTAACAATAAAATCATCATAAGCCAAAGTAGTACAATATCCGTTATCTCCAATGGAAACCATATACAGCCCCAAATCTTTAAAGTAAAAACATACAACTCACACGATATGAGCCCCCCAGCAGTGCTCGCACCCACAGGGCCTAATTTAGTCACTTTCTCCATAGTTCCTTTATGTAGTACTTGATGAATGCTTATTAGTAAGAGTTTTTTCTTGTTTTCTTAAATGGTGGATGAACAGCGTGCTTTAACCTGCACGTTGTGGATGTTGTGTATGTAGCACAAGCTCAGGAACAGATCAGGGAGGGAGATGGAATAATTCCCAGACAGTGTGGGAGAGCAACTGGAATATGAATTGGAAGCTGGAAGAGGGACTGCAGAAATGCCTATGCGGCTTCCCGAGAACTGCCAGCATAGGCAGAGGTGCTGTGCCCACACATGTTCATGGCCAAATAACTAAGGAAACTAGTTTTTTTCAGGTTAGCGACAAACAGTACATAATGGTTTTTAATGTGCTGCAAAGACAGTGATGGCCATGAGCACACTATCAGTCGTAACAAGGTCATGATCACTAAGTGCTATCCTGTGTACTTGTACCTGTGCTATCTAACTTAGAAGCCACAGATCATTTCAGAAGTTTTCTTTAAAGCTTATTTATTTTGGGGAGACGGGGCAGAGAAAGAGGGAAAGCTCTCAGGGTCTGAAGCAGGGCTTGATCTCACAAACACGAGATCATGACCTGAGCCGAGATCAAGAGTCGGATGCTCAACTAACTGAGCCACCGAGGTGCCCCTACAGAATTTCTTTTTAATAATTAGTGTCTCATTTCACCAACTCTCTCAACCTTTTCAAAAAACACTATAAAAAATTAGCAACATTGAAAAGTTTCTAGTTTCACCCATCTCATAGTGATGATCATAATTATTATTATTTTTATTATTTTTTAATTTTTTTAAATGTTTTATTTATTTTTGAGAGAGAGATAGAGACAGCGTGAGCAGGGGAGGATCAGAGAGAGAGGGAGACACAAAATCTGAAGCAAGCTCCAGGCTCTGAGCTAGCTGTCAGTCATCTAATTAAATTTAGATGAGGTCATGCAGGGGGCCCCTCATGATGAGATTTGTACCCTTATAAGAAAAGATCTGAGAGACCGTTCTCTTTCACTCCTCTTAGCCATAAGGGGACCCAACAAGAAGATGGCTGTCTGCAAGTCTAAAGAGGGTCCTCACTGGACACGGACGCTTAATCTTGGATTGATAGTCTCCAGAACTAAGAAAGTGATTCCTGTTGTTGAAGTCATCCAGTCTATGGCAGCCTGAGCTAAGACATTATCCAAATACCCTAAAATCTATTAAGTAGCATGATAAACCAATTTGTTAACTTAGACTCAAAACTTACAACGACTTTCAAAGGAGATAACATAGAAATGTTGTACATTCAAAACCTAATATATTGAGTTAATTTATTAGTTGTTTGTTTCGAAAATCGCAATGGCACAGAGCAAGGAGTCAGGGCGCCTGAGCTAGACCTTAGTATTTTCTGTAGTTGCCAGCCAACTGGGGAAAGCCTCTTACCAGCTCAGATTGATCAGTTTACTTTCCTTGGAAAATGAATGGTCTGACACGGTCCTGACCCCCCTACCAGTCTCAGAGCTCTACAACTCTGAGTGTACTTGAGATACCAGAAGGCCACCCACACTTACCATTCTGTTCCCGCTGTACTCCGGCCGCCAGAAGATCAGGCTCACCGAGGCTGATGTCGTTCAGCCGTGTCCCCAGACACTCCATGCACAGATGTTTGCACCATTCCTCGGCCTCCAGCTCTGAAAATGAGCACACGCCATGAAAATCAGAGAGCGCATCCCAGGGATGACACAGGAAGACTCTTCCTGAACCACTGTCTTGGGTAGGTGGGAAGAGCTCAATATCTACCTTAAGAAAGCAAAAAAAAAAAAAAAAAAAAAAGCTATAGTCAAGAAGTAAAAAAAAAATAGGGGCGCCTGGGTGGCTTAGTCGGTTAAGCGTCCGACTTTCGCTTAGGTCATGATCTCGCGGTTCGTGGGTTCGAGCCCCGCATCAGGCTCTGTGCTGACTGCCAGCTCAGAGCCTGGAGCCTGTTTCGGTCTGTGACTCCCTCTCTCTCTGACCCTCCCCTGCTCACACTGTCTCTCTCTCTCCCTCTCTCTCTCCTAGAAATAAAAAAAAAAAAAAAGAAGTAAAAAAAATATTCCCCACAGTTATTTCCCATAGGCTGACATGACATTATATTTTAAAGTGATATTAAGTTATTCCAATGTAGTTTATCTTATTTACAATTAATAGTCTGAGAATATTTAGTATGTGTTCTTTTATATTTTAAAATTTTGTTAAAATCCAAGCTAGTTAACATACAGTGTAGTATTGGTTTCAGGAGTCGAATTTAGTGATTCATCACTTACATATATCATCCAGTGCTCATCCCAGCAAGGGCCTTCCTTAATGCCCATCCCCCATTTAGCCCATCCCCCCCCCCATCCAGCAGCCCTCAGTTGGTTCTCTGTATTTAAGAGTCTCTTATGGTTTGCCTCCCTCTCTGTTTTTATCTTATTTTTCCTTCCCTTCCCTTATGTTCATCTGTTTTGTTTCTTAAATTTCACATAGGAGTGAAATCATATATTTATCTTTAGGATTGATTTAAGTTTTGGAGGGGAGTACTTAGAAAAATTAATTAAAAATAAACAAAAATACGTAAACGAGTCGTTGAAAAGTGTCAGATTAAAATAAACAAGTAGATGCTTTTCTGAATGTGACTTAGACTTGCATGGGTTGAAGGTCTGTGCCCCATTCTGAACAGCAATGAATCAAAGATCAGCCCAGAAATATGATAGCTTCTCTTTTGTAAACAGCAAAAATAGTCCATCCTTAAAAAAAATTGGGATAGGATAGTGAAAGTAACTTTCCCTTTTAGGAAATTCCAATTTATCTAAGATATTGATTATCTTCCAACTTCTTTATATTCGCAAGCCTTTTCTTTGCTTGAAACTTTAGAACATCTTACACCTACACAGAATCTTATAGTACCTAACACTTTCACAAACGTCAGTGGGTTGGACTCTTATATAAGCGCTGCGTGGGTGTGGTGGGTAAGGGGTAATGTCACACCTCGAACTCATACCAACGGTTGGCACCAAGGCAGCAGTGAAGCCCGGATCTTGTGGATATTATAATATGAAGCATTTGAAAAAAGCGCTGAGATTGAAAATTTTGGGCCAAGCCCCAAAATTGCTGCACAGAAATTGGTCGAGAACTTTCCATCGATACCTGCCCAGAGACATTTCTGACTTTTCCATGTAGCGTAAATCTGCACTAGAGCAGTTTAATGTAGATTTGCCTTCAAATCTCGCTACTCTCCGTGGATGACATTCCAGCCTCTGTCTTGGCATTTTAAACTCCCCATGAAAAGTCACCTGCGACAGGTTTTCCTGACTCCGGGGATTTGAATACCAACTGCTCTGCTCAACGGTCAACACCATCAAAACTGGGTAGTGGTTTCTTCCTGCGCTTAGTCATTCTGCCTTAGCATCACGAACGGGCTTGATCAATGAGATGTCAGGCCAGATTTGTCATTTAGTTTTAGTTTTATCAAGACAACAGAATATTGTTAGGTATAAATAAAAAGAGCATGTAGTATTCCACGGGGTACTATTCTAATGAAAATAACAGTTCCGTGCTCTAGTCATGAAAGGTGTGGTTATTTTTAAGTTTATTTATTCTGAGAGAGAGAGAGAAAGAGAGACAGAGAGAGAGAGAGAGAGAGAGGAGAGGGGCAGAGAGAGAGAGAGAGAGAGAGAGAGAGGAGAGGGGCAGAGAGAGAGAGGGAGAGTGAGTATCTGAAGCAGGCTTTGCACTGTCAGTGTGGAGCCAGATGTGGGACTCGAATTCATGAACCCATAAGATCATGACCTGAGCTGGAATCAAGAGTTGGACGCTTAACCCTCTGAGCCACGCAGGCGCCCCGGTGTTTTCTTCACATACGGTACGGTTTGCATATTTCAGTGACCATCCTCTCTGTAGTTCTAGACAACATCTACCTAAGTCAGAGAGGAAGTAGATTCTCCTGTGAGCCTGGCCTCTTGCTCAGGTGGAATTCAGAGGCTGGGTCTCACTGTTTAGGCATTTCCTCAGGAACCTAGAAAATAATCCTTTCCAGTTACAAGGCCACTAAAAAAAAGGGGGGGGGCACTTTCTGAAGCTCACAGCTTCCCCAAAATTTTTTTTTTCTAGTAAGGGTATGCCAGCTTTCCTGAAAAAAACTTTCATAGAAGCAGAAACAGCATGTATTGAAAATGATTTTCATCAGATAGATGAGATTTGATTTATAAAGTTTATAAATGTTTTGAAAAGTTTTCGAACAACAAATCAAAATCTTAAGCCAATGACCATGCCATGTCTCTAGAAAGCCTTAACATTTCTATTAAGGGAGACAACAGGACTATATCTTTTTCCTTCTTACACTTTTATATCTTGAATATTTCTCAGGAGTCTGCAATTTTAAATCATCAGTAAAGTCACATGCAATTAACATCGCCATGATTCTACCTGATCCCGTTTCTGGTACTCCACTGACGGGGTTGAGAATATCTAGTATGCTGTTTGGGACACAAATAAAAAATGTTACATATAACAGACACTTTTGTGCCAGTGTTCCCTTTAAATACTAAGTCAGTGTATGCCCAGAGATTAAAGACATATGTTACTCATTTCTGTTAGTTTTTTTTTTTTTTTTGTCCTAGGATCTAATAAGTCAAAGAAAGCAACCATACAGTAAAGGGCTTCTATGAAGCTAGAACTCTTCTCTCAAGAATAACTCAACGTGGCATCTCTGTAAGGGCCAGGCAGGTCTCCCCGGAGAGAAATGGGAGGCGTTCAGGGGCTTCCGCCAGCAGGTAAAGACGTCTTTTGCGTCGAATCCGAAGAAGTGCAATGCTTCAGCATTTTATGTTATTAAAAAAATGTGTAATGTTTGTTTATTTTTAAGAGAGAGGGCACGAGCAGGGCAGAAGGAGAGAGGGAGACACAGAATCTGAGGCAGGCTCCAGAGCCCGACATGGGGCTTGAACTCACAGACAGCGAGACCATGACCTGAGCTGCAGCTGGACGCTCCACCGACTGAGCCCCCAGGCGCCCTGCTTTAGCATTTTAACAGTGTCGGAGCTTCTAGGAGTAGAAGCAGCAAAAGTAATAGAGCACATAGAGTCACATAAGAAACAAGTGTAAGCTATTTCAGAAAGAGACAGAGAAACAGAAAGGGACAGGGTGAGAGAGGGAGAGAGAGACACCCTTGCAATTCAGGTATTCAGGAAAAGTTCATTTTCTTTTCTAACAGACATTTACCATGAACTCACTAGAAGCCCTCACTGTGCTGAGGTTACATGAAAAATACACAGACTGTGTTGTGTGTGATGTTGGTGCGGGCAGGCGGGGCGGGCGCGGGCAGGTGCGGGGCGGGTGCGGGCAGGCGGGG